ACACACACACACACACACACACACACCCCACATATGCACACATCCACACACTCAATGGCACATACCTCTACCATATTGGTTCAAATGCTCTCATCATGTTGTGTTTTAACAAATAATGTTCTTAACTTATTATGACATTGATATATATTCAGTGTGAAAATTAGAAAATGCAGTGGAAAGATAATGAGAAATAAAAATAAAATATGCCCATTGCTCATATATCATCTTCTCTTTAACCTGTCCTTCCTTTTTGTTACTCATTCATAGACTAAAAATCAAAACAAATTCAACAAAAACACAAGCCATGTATACAAGCTAATTTATTTACCTCACTGTGAAATATGTCAGAATGAGGGCTGGATATCATGTCTTTTATCTCTCGTAGCATCCAATTTATCACATGCTTTCCCTGCTTCTCAAGGGCTCCCAATACTCAATTTGGGATCAGGGCACATATTCCAATTCTAATAAAATGTTAAGGTTCAATATTGAATTAAAGCAAAAGGTAAAATATCAACTCTAATGCTCTCTTATGAGAAAAAATAAACAACAAAGCAAGACACCATAAACTACAAATCTATTATGTTCTCTAATTTTCTAGCAGCTAACAGCTAAGTCCTGATTTTTTTAATATTTAATATAAAACTATCAACCTCATGTTGATAATACTTGCTTAGATATATACTCATCAATCAATCAATTGAAATATTATATAATAGGTCATCTATAAATTTTATTACTATCTCTACAAACTATTCAGGATTTGAATAATTTTAAAAGGTTGACAAACTTGGGACCAGCAGTTAGCATAATGGCTATGTCGCTGGAATCCCATGTAGTCGACCGTGGTTCACGTCCCGGACCTGGTGGCTTAAAACTCACGATGGGCGTGTGTGCATGCGTGCCCAAGATCCCGAGAGGAGAATGGAGGAGAAGGGATTGCGGTGTGGCCATCCCCCCAGGGGGTGATTTCTCGCTTTCTGTCTCTCTGTCTCACTCTGTCTGGCAAGCACACACGTCCTATAGCAAAAACCTGTAAAAAAAAAAAAAAAAAAAGATTGACAAACTTAACAAAATTTGTCAAGTAAAAATTATTGTTATAAATATTAAATAATTACACATATGTTTTAGGAGCAATTTGACATATTTGGATAACACTAGAATGTCCTACTCAAGGATCATTTTTTTTTTTCATTAAACACAGAGTAGTCACTGTGTCCTTTTCACATTTTTATGTGTAAGTTAGGAACTACAGAAAGCAAAGAAACTGTTCTTAATTGGTAACCCAGAAGGATACTTACTATTCTTTAATACAATAAGAAAATCCTAGGACCAGCAGTTAGTGTAATGGCTGTGTCGCTAAACTCCCATGTAGTCGACTGCAGTTCGAGTCCTGGACCTGGTTACTTAAACTCACACCGGGCACGTGTACGTCCATGCCCAAGATCCCAAGAGGAGAATGGAGGAGAAGGTATTGCAGCATGGCTATCCCCCCTCAGGGGTGATTCCTTGCTATCTCTCTGTCTCTGTCTTTCTGGCAAGCGCACATGCCCTATAGCAAAAACCTCTCAAAAAAAAAATAGCAAAAACCTCTAAAAAAAAAAAAAAAAAAAGAAAGAAAAACCCCTACTAATATTCTTATGATAGCTTAGTTTCCCTCCTTTATTTCCCTGTGAAATTCTGAACTATGATGTAAATGTGCTGTCAACTATTACAAGTTAATCCAACCAGTGGAGTGTCTGTGGCAAAGTATTATTTTTATTTTCACTTTTACTTCTATCCTGCTTCTGTCTACCATGATTGCCTTCCTTAAACCTGACTACATACCTGTGACCTTCAGCATTTGGATTAAAAAATTGCTTTAAGATGTGCATTTTGCATACTCAAAAATTAGTATAAATTTGTGTTAGTCATGATTTGCCTCGTCCTGATTTATTTCATCCTTGCACAGAATGGGTTCACAATTTTATATGGATTAAAAAAGAAACCATGGGGACCAGCAGTTAGAGTAATGGCTATGTCGCTGGACTCCCATGTAGCTGACCGCGGTTTGAGTCCCAGACCTGGTGGCTCAAACTCACCCCAGGCGCATGTGCGTGTGCATGTCCAAGATACCGAGATGAGAAAGGAGGAGAAGGGATTGCGGTGTGACCATCCCCCCTGGGGAGTGATTTCTCGCTTTCTATCTCTCTATCTCTCTCTGTCTTTTTGGCAAGCACATGCGCCCTATAGCAAAAACCTCTCAAAAAAAAAAAAAACTTTGAAAACCACTTTGTCACATATAATTGAACAACTGAATAAAACTAATATTAGAGTCCTGAATTGAAAGAGGTCTGAAAGAAGTAAATTTGGTCATGCTGTGTGTGTGTGTGTGTGTTTGTACACCCATGCAGGGGTCGGGGTAGTCTGGGGAAGACTTAAAGGAACAGGATGTATTATTCCTTTTGAGGGCACATTGAAGGTTGTAAGTATGAAAGGAATGCTGAAATGCATATACAGCTAGGAAACAGCTACAAAACTCAAATTTATCTGTCATAGTTCCCATCCTACTAATCTTTCTAGGAACTAAATCGCTTACCTCCAACAGGATATCTGATGGGGTTTTCTAACCCGAAGGTACCAGAAGGGATGAACACACATATCTGGTAAACTAAGTGGGAAGATCCACCCTCGGTGTGGATAGGTGCCATCTAGTCATTGAGTGACCCAGAGAAAACAGACATCGGAGACTGATTAGACTCTAGAGAGCTGGACAGACTTGGACAATGAAACTCAAGGCTCACCTGCCTTTGGACTCCAGCAAATCTCCTAGGTTTTTAGACTGTTGGCATCAGACTATCAGTTACACCATCTGCTTTCCTGCCTCTGAAGCCTTCAGACCTGGACTGAGCAGTGCTATCAGAATCTCAGGGTTTCTAGCTTGCAGAGGACCTGTTATAGGACTTCTTAGACTTGTTATAGGACTTCTCAGATGCTACCATGATCACATGAGCTGATTCTCCCCACAAAATCTTCTCTCACTTATCTATACATACCTTATGGGATCTTTCTCCCTGGAGAATACTAGTATAAGCTGTAACAATCTTAAGAAGGAAACCAGTCTATAAAACCTACAGGTTAATTACGAATCTATTTTATATGTTAAACCAAGAGTGATTTCCTCTGCTAACTTAAATTGCTTTGCTAAAAAGTACAGGGTTAGTGATTGTCTAATGTGCGAAATGACAGCAAACACTTCTGCATTATGACATATGGAAATAACAATATACCGATTTATCATATCCTACTGAGGAACAATTTAAAATAAAGTCATGCTCTTTTTCATTTCATTGATTCTTCTTGCTTCGGAGAAGCAGTTCTATTATTTACTTACGACTTTTTAAAATTTGTATTTCCACCAGAGATTCACAATCTCCATAAATGGCAAAGACATGAACATTAAATACGGATGCACATGCAGTAAACAGTGTGCTAATTAGTAGAACTGTTTGGGGTATTAATCTGTTGATTTTATGAGAATCGTTACTATTGTGAATTATTCTACAAATCCCAAAAGAGCTCTATCTCTGTCAATATTGAGGACCGAGAATGTCTTAATACATGCACAACTTGAACACTGTTTGGAATAAAGTCACATTAATTTGCTTATCTTCACATTAGTCAATTTAGCCAAGCAAAACACAAGAAAATTCACATTTTTGGTACTTCTAAGAGCAACTAGATAACAGCATAATGAAGGTGAGGAGATGCTTGTGTATCTATATACACTATTGAATAAAAGCTATAAGAATTAATAATGATAATTCAATAAAAAAGAAAGAAATGGCTTTCTTGAAGAGAAAGCTTCCGAGTAGGGAATTTGTTCATTTTTTCCCTTTATTAAATGTAAAGTATTATATATGTACTAACTCTCATTTTGTGGTATTTCAAGACAGACTCCTCCAATACTGAAACATCTAAGGTGCATTTGAGCCACTGTAGACAAAATGTGTTAAATAGATCCTAAGGAGCCTGAAGAATACTACATCTTTCTAATGTGACTTGTCTACTATTAGGG